AGGCTGTCTAGTGGGGCACCTTGTTCAGTGTATGCCCCATGCTAGTCCCTTGTACTGTGAGCAGCACCCACTGCACCAGGTCCAGCTCTGGGGCTTGTCCTACCTGTAGTGCATGGGCTAGACCCAGTGCCATGGGTGCTGCCTACAGTACAGGGCACTGGCATAGGGTGTGTGCTATGTGTGGCACCCTGCTGGACAGCCCTGTGTGCTGGCTCCAGTACTCATGTACAGCCTGGGGTACAATCCTGAATGGCCTTGGAACCAGTGCACAGGGTTGGTGAAGTGGGGCATTAAATACTTTTTTAAACAAACAATGGGAATCAATCAAAGGTTTTATCTTTCTTCTGTAGCATGGTTGATTCTCGTAAGTATTTTAGCGTCAGCTTTTCTAATAGGCAGAAGCTAACAAGCATACTAAAACTTTAGCTGTAAGTGTGCAGTTGCTAAGTTGGATTTTATTTGTTTTCTTTAGTGAAATTGCATAAAAATGTCGCTCTATCCTTCCCTGGAAGATTTGAAGGTGGACAAAGTAATTCAGGTATGGTGAAATGCATAGACTCTTTAGATCTGTTTTAGTGAACCACTTTTCCATGACTAAATCATCACTTTTCAGCAGTAGAACAATTGTTTAGCTCCTCGTTCTTTGACATTAAGTAGACCTCCTCCCACCTCTAACCCCTTCACCCCACAAAACTGTCATGCAACTGTTACACTCACATATTTCAAAATATGCTTTCCATGTGATCCGAATGACTTGGTTCTGCTTTTTTAACTCCATAACTTATACACTGATACCCAGTTGAGGATTTCTCTGGTCATGTGAGTCTGAAGCTGACTGTTAAGGTTAAATCAGAGCATTTTGTAAGCTACTAAAAAGAAACTGCCAGTCTTCAGAGAACAAAAGTAATCTTATTATTCAACTTTTGGGTCGGTGTCCATGCATATAGTTTCACTTAGAGTGCATGTTATTATTGAAAGGAGTTAATATCTGCCAAATTGCTTTCTTCTACCTGAAGTTTTGATTTCAAAGTAGATTATTGCAAAATACCAGAACATGTATATGTCCAACATCTGGTCTCTAACCCAAGGGAACCAGATTGGGACATAATTTAAAATCTTAACTATTGTTTGAATCTTTTGTTTTTAATTGTTAATTGATCTCTAATGTTATGGAAGGGGACTGCTCTTTATCACTGAAAGTGGCAGTGAAATGATTCTTTGATTCTCTTGAATCTAGACTGTTTGCAGATGTTAAACCCCCCCCCC